CTCTTCTTCCAAAGTTCACTTCGCTTATCGATCTGATAAGTGTCAGGTTGGTCGATAATCTCGATCGTCGAATTTGATCTGTACGGTGTGTGATGAGTAAATAACGTTTATCATTTCAAATTGTTATACCAAATATTACACTTTTCTTGAATATTTCCAAGTAAGAAAAATCATTCTCCGGGAGAATTCCAAATTTTCAGTACTTCCTTAAAAACTTTCTCAAACTAAAATAAGAAAGATGGTCGAATCATGTATGAATTATTACATTAACGAATCCGAAATTTATACCGAGATTTATAACAATTCGACGATTGTGAAAACCAGCTACGCGACGATCAATTAGAAACGAGAGAGAAAACGAGAAAAATAGATAAAAATATTCGGTTCTTTCGCAACGATAAACAAACGAGTACAAACAGAGGCGGTGTTTCAACAAGCGGCGTAAAAATTGTTGCCGGCCACTTCACGGCTGTTTCCAAGTAAATTGATAGCCGATTCACGAGTCGGGGATAAACTGGTCCCGCGGGAGCTCGAGGGCTTACGTCGAGCAGAAGGGGGTCGGTCGTGCGCCGCAGGACGGCCAGGCAAACACCATAAACTGTTTGTCCAGAGATTAGCCGTCGCATTTCATTCGCGAAAGGACTTCAAGAACGACAACCTGTTCCCGTGGAACAAAGAGGGGGGTTGGAATTAATATCGCCTCGATCGTGAGGGGGGAGGGGGCTCAGGTGAGGCCGGTGGAAAAGTTTCACCCGACATTGCAAGCATCTGGGAGCAATTTCACGAGTTACTAAAGTTCGACGGTTCGAGTAATTTTTCGCTTGGCTACTCGCCAACGATCGCTCCTCTTTCTCTTCCGTGGACCGGCGTCGAACGATCGTTTCAGAAATATGTCGGCCATCTTCTCGCGTACGAAATTTTCTTTTTTTTTTTTTTTTTTTTCGTTCGATGACAATTTGTATATGCAAGTTTCGAAAATTAATTTTTCGCGCCATTTTTTTTTTTCGTTCTTTTCTCGATTTTCGAAACTCCCGAAAATGTACGAGTTGAAATGTATGCGATATAATTTCGTTCCATCGATTCAATAATTTGTTTGAACTCGAAGAAAAAGGAAGGAATCTAAAAAAATGTATTTTCAATTCGTTTCTTTTTTTTTTTTTTGTTTTACATTTGTTTCATGTTGAAAAGATATATATATATATATATATATACTTTGTATATAGATGACGTTAAGGGTGTGGATTATAATGGACGGCACTTGTTTAAATTACGTAATCTTCTTGAGAGATTGTCGAGGGAAACGCGAGTCATCTTTTGACGTTCGTAAATAGAGATTAAAATGCAATTCGTTTAGGATAACGTAAATATTTCCGACTACAAAAGGGTACAATTTGTTAGATTGCTGGGATGAGAAACATATCCACTTCGAGTGTAGCTTCTTGTGAATTTTAATATGGACGAGACGAGGCAAAAGAATATTTAACTCGATGAGAGATTTTTTTTCTCTCGTTGCGATAATTAATAATAAACTTTACTTACTAGTTGAATAAAATTTAATATCTCGTTGCCAAATTTCTTCCTTTTGGAAATCCGTGAGTTTGTTTTAATGAAACAATCATAATGCTGCGTTTTTTTTTTTTTTTTACTGATTTACCATAACGTAGAAATTTCAATAAAAATCACACAAACTTTAAATAATTAAAATTTGAAATTTTGAGTTTACCAAAAGATCATTGGACACGTCGAATAATTCACTTGTAACATTCAATTCGTGAATTAGATTTGACAAGAATTCCAATTATAATAACAATTAAGAGAAGAAATTTGAAAAGAAAGATTTAAAAGAGTTCGAAAAAATATATTTTATTAAATAATCACTTTAACGAGATATTACGAATTCCCATATCTATTTACTTTACACGATCTCTCTTTCTCTTCATCATCAAGAAAACTCTCCACCAGGAATCCAGGGAAAAAATCCGCGACACAAAAGGTATACAACAAAACAAGATTGAAAAGAGTTGGAAACGAAATATCTCGAGACGAGACGAGTCCTAAATAGAAAAATCAGGATCAAGAAATGGAAAACAAGGCGAAGGGGTGGCGGAGGAGAGTTTGAGTTTGAGGAGGAGGAGGAGGTCGAAGGTCGAGGGGTTGTGCAAGAACGGAAAGAGAGAGGGGTGTACGAAATGAGAGCACGATGTAGTCATAATGGAAGCGCAGAGATTTAACAAGGTTACAATGAACGAACGAGCGTAGCTAGCCTGGACCCTGTGAAGGCAGCAGCCGCCTCCAGGAGCCGGAGGATCGCAGATTGAATTGTAAAATAACCGAGAGGGGAACAATGCGCCTCGGTACAACATTGTGTTTGCATTTAAATAATCCGCGAGCCCGCGGGTACGCTTATCCTCGCGACTTCGTTCTACCCTCTTCGTTCCACACACCCCTCCCCCGTATCGTGTCCATTTGTCTCGCTCCATGCAACTCGCGCGGCGCTTATTTCCCCGTGGAACGGGAAACGCAGCTTCCACCGCGTGCATCCTAGGGCAACGTGTGTGTGTGTGTGCGCGCGCGTGTGTGTGTGTGTATGTACGAGGGTAAATAGAGGAGAAGGAGAATTTTCACCGGCTTCGTTGTTTCGTTCTCGAGGAGGAGAAACTCTCGAGGTTCGAATAATAATTAGATCGGATCGGACGTTTTATTTCGTGAAAGAAGGCTTTGCCCTTCGAGCAAAGTTGCTTTTACTTACTAAAATAGTTGAACTCGTGAAAGCAAAAATTTAATGGTGTCTCGATATCGTTCAAAAATATTGTAATAACGATTGTCTACCCGTTATTCGAGCGATTTAATAATAAAGAATTAAACCGAGAGCAAAATTTTATACGAAATAATAGTAATAACTCGATTGATAAATCTTTGAACGGGAACAACTCTGCTTGGCGAAACGGTAGAGGGGAAAAATTTGACCAAAAAATCGATCGCATCCAAAGAGATTCGTTTCGTTCGACGAAAACGAATCGAATCGAAGAACGAAAAAGGGAAGAAACGATCCCTCGAATCATCGCCGCTCAATTAGCTTAATGAACGGCGCATAAGTATGGTATAGAAACAAACAACGGCCGCGACCATTAGTAGAATGTTACGCGGCCGTTTCTAGTTTGTACTAATTGTAAGTAGCGAGTAATTAATGCGGTCGATTCGAGTCCGATCTGTCGAACCGCTGACCAACGGCATCCAACGGAGCCAATGCGGGGAGGAGGGGGGAGGGGGAGGGGGGAGGGGAACGGGTAGGGTAGGTGCGGAGTAGACACGGGGATTGCAGGTGGCCGCTTGCTACATAGTGGGGAGCAGAGAGAGAGAGAGAGAGAGGTGGCGCAAAGGAGGGGGTTGTTCCGGCTCGGCATTGTTTCACGGTGGATGAGAATTTAATTTGCACGACGGAGAGGGATAGTTGGAGGTGGAAGCTAGCAGGAAGGTGGAAAACCGAGAGAGAGAAAGAGAGAGAGAGGAAAAGAGATAGGAGTGGAAAAGGAGGAAGAGGGACGGAAGAGCGAAGGTGGAGGGTCGCTCCATGGGTGCTGCCTTGTTTAAGCGTGGGTGGGGGGTGTCAAATTGAATTACCCCCTGGTTTCACGGTCCCTGGGGACGTTTGCTGGAGCGCTGGTGCTTCTACGTCAAGGCTATACCATCCCGGGCTCGTTGTAGATGGGGTTTTATCCGCGTGCACACCGTTCCACGGTTTGTAGCGGTGCACGATGTACACGGGTGTACCTTCATGGAGGCGTTTTCAATTAAAATCAACACCGAGGGTTGCCTCGTATCCTCTCTCTGTCTCTTCTCCCTCTTCCATCGCCGTTCTGTCTCAGTTCTCTCGTTGGTTGGACGTCGTCTATCGATCACGCTATCTCTTTCTCTCGTAAAATCGTGTTCTCTCTTTTTTTTCTTTTCTCTCTCTTTGTCCCGTATGGGGTCGGCTCCTCTCTTTGTTATTATATTTCCCGTTTCTTTCTTCTCTTTCGCTTTGTTTCCTGCTCTCTCTTTCTCTCCCTTTGATAGTTGCTTTGTTTCTGTTCTTTTTTTATTGTCTTTCGTTTTTCGTTCTTTCCTCCTTTCCCTCCCCGCTACTGTCCCTCATGAAAAATTCACGAATCTCGCGAGTCTCGATGAAATCTTCTTGCCGCGTTAAACTAATGGAAGCTTGGTCCCGGAGCATTTATTTATCGGTATTTCGCCTCCCATCTTGCGAGACGTTCTTCTCTTCGTCTAAGAGGATAAGGAAGGCCGATTCTTTTTCTCTCTCCCTTTTGCCCGCTCCCCTCGTCGATTCGCCCGCTTACCTTTTTCTTTCGCCACCGATTTCCCTCTCTCTCTCTCTCTCTCTTTTCGTGGTGCGCGCGTCACCTTTGATGGGGGAGCGTCTGAAAGAGTTCAGAGTTCGATTGCAAATCACGCAAAATTGCCCGTTATTATATGTACAGAGTATAATAAACGTTCTGATAAAATTTTTATGAGATGTCATATCGGTCACGTGTAAAAGTTTGTTGTTTCACGAATGTATAAAAATAACGAAAAATCGAACGTTCGAAAATTGAATTTAATCAAACTTGAAACCCGTCCGCATGCTCGCGTGGCCGAAAGTTAATCGCTCTGTAATGGAACGAGGTCGGCATTGGTTGTGTGCGTCGTTATTACGCATTGAACAGAGAGGAGCGTCCGAAGAAAAAACGCCCGAATCGAATTGAATATGCGTCTGTCTCGCGTTTGATTGACGAGTTTGATCGAGAGAGCGTGACAAGTATAATTACAATGGGAGAATAGGAGAAAAGACGTTAGAGGCATTTCTTCTCTTGTGTGTCGAGGAACGAACTTGTGAAATTTTTCGAGAAATTTATTAATTCGTCGGGAGATGGGTTTGCGAGATGACGATGATGACGAGTGTCTGTTTGAAAATTGATCGTTATTTCTCGAATATTTTTCTTCTTTTTTTTTTTTTTCGTCAGTAGAATGGACGGGCCGGCGGTATTATCGATGCCGCCGATAACCGCGCCCCAAAAATCGGCACAATCGCCGCAGCCGCAGTCGCATTCGAAATCCAATCAGGTATCGTATGTGTTTTTTATTGTATATTACATGGGATTTTATTTAATTGTCCAACAGCGGATTATTCGCCAGGGTTTATTCTCCTTTATTTTAGAGAAGATGAAACGGTCAAATACGAGGAAAAAGAATAACATTATTCATCTCTGTTGTTTATAATCAACATTATACATTTTTAATTATCACGTACAATCGTAGCTTCGACGTAGCTTTCCAGTTTGAGAATAATATCAATACGAATAATCCAGCTATGCTTTTTTCGAAAAATAAGAAAGAAGAACAGGAAATATCTTAAAATAGCTGCACACCGAAAGACCATGTTGTGAACCTAAACCGTCAGGAGTTGCAGGTGGGCACCGTGTCCCTTTACGGAATTCACATCGTGTCGCTGGTGATCGAGGGCCAGGAGAGGCTGTGCCTGGCCCAGATCAGCAACACGTTGTTGAAGCAGTTCAGCTACAACGAGATCCACAACCGAAGGGTCGCGTTGGGCATCACCTGCGTGCAATGCACCCCCGTCCAGTTGGAAATCCTCCGCCGTGCCGGGGCCATGCCGGTCTCCTCGAGGAGATGCGGCATGATTACCCGAAGGGAAGCCGAGCGTCTCTGCAAATCGTTCCTCGGCGACAACGCGCCCCCCAGGTTGGTTAACCTTCATCCGCCTGTCCTCCAAAATTCTCGTGAAAGACAAAAAAAAAAAAAAAGAAAATTCGAGGCTCTCAAGATTCAATTTCACAGACGTTAAACTGTAAAATGATTCGGTCGAGGTATGAGTAGGAGATATTTCTAAATATTGGATTCATATTCGTGGCAATTTTCTCGAGTTGTTATTTTATTTCAACTTCAACCGGAACGTGGCATACCTTTGATTATTATGAGCGCATATATGCGCGCTGCAAAGACTCATCAATTCTCTTATTATCTTAAACTCGTTTCATCTGTAACCAGACATTTGTGATTGTTGCATATTGTAATATTATACTCGTGATGCGTGTGATGATCCATTAATAAAAATACTAGCTATGCATTTGACGAAAATTTTATGTCGTTCAAAGGCCGATGTTGCTTTATAATCGTCAAATTATTAAAATTACAAGTTTTAAAACTTTGACGAATATATTGGTATATATTGAAAAGAAAAAATTTGTTCGAATTCGTTTTGCAGTGGACAAAGTAATAGTAATTGGATTGTGTGCTATAATGCCTTGGTACATCATCGATGAGATCCGTATTCAGTCCCTAGCATTTAACAATCAAAGGATTAATTTTAAAATTTTAAAAAACCAGTTTCGCCATTCTTTTCGATAATAATCTCCGTTATCACACGCACAACCGTATAAATAAACTCTGAAGACGCGATAATTCCAATAAATATTCGATCGAGACAAATTTCTTATCTGTTGAAAGATTACCCGAGGACTTCGCGTTCTCGGTGCACCACGAGTGCGCGTGGGGTTGCCGAGGCGCGTTCCTTCCGGCGCGTTACAACAGCTCCCGGGCCAAGTGCATAAAGTGCGCCTACTGCGGCCTCTTCTTCTCGCCGAACAAGTTCATCTTCCACTCGCACAGGATCGGCCCGTCGGACAAGTACGTGCAGCCGGACGCGGCCAACTTCAACTCGTGGCGGCGCCACATGAAACTGTCCGGCAACCCGCCGGACGAGGTGGTGCACGCGTGGGAGGACGTGAAGGCGATGTTCAACGGGGGGACAAGGAAACGATTGCTCAACAACCCGAACTCGAGGGAGTCGCCCAGCCCTGCCAAGCAGCCGAGATCCTCGCCCACCGCCCAGATGCCCACCCTCGTCCCCTCGCCCACCCATCCACGGGTGCCCCCGTTCCCGGAATTGCCTTTGCCGCTGTCCAGAAGCCTGGTCATGGACTACGTGTGGCATCAGCATCAGCAAGCCGCCGCCGTCGCCGCCGTCAAGACGCCCGGCTTTCCCTTCTCCCCCTACGCTCTGCCGTGGCTGGCCAAGAGGGGACCGGTCCTCTTTCCCGGTGAGTCCTCGCTTCTTCCAATATTTTTTACGAGTTTGTGAGATTGGAGCGTAGGCGAAAAGTTGCTTCAGCTTTCTTTCTTTCTTCGTCGATGCGTTATACAAGCTTTTTGAGTAGTTGGTTTATGAATAGTTTTGAAATAAGGTAAAATAAGGATTGTGTGATTTTTTTTAAAGATCGATGAGATGTTTGATGATTTTTATGAAATTAGGGGGGGGGGGTAGATTAGGGAATCGCGGAGAATTTCTTTGTCGATGAATAGATTTTAGGGGAGAATTTTAGACAACGATTGATTTTTCTTGAAAATCGATGAGATTTCCATAATTGAATATGAATCGAATAAGAAAGAAAAATAAGAACGAATTTTCGATTCACAATTAATGATAAATTTTCGCCCCCGAAAGCAAGGCATAAACGTAATTCACCTTCGGATATTTAATATCCACGTATTACATAGTTTAGACGTTAATGTATAATAAAGCGGATTACGCGCGTTGCGAGCATAAATTATTTTATACATTGCGGAGGCGGGATTCATTAGTATAATTACAGGGGAAATATGAATGTGAAGAGTGCTGTGAATATTATTAATCGGTGGAATAGTGACGAGCGTGTTGTGCGTGTAAAATAATGGTCTTTGATATAATAATTATTCATTATAAGGGGGCCCTACATTCCCCGCCATCGGGGAATCGATCAATCCCTGCACGCTATTTCGATTCGCAAACTTTATCGTTATTAATCGGTTAAAATTTATTTTAACTAATAGTAGGCAAAATTTTACCCGACCGACGTATATTAATTCGAGTGGCGTGCAAAAGTTACTCGGAACAAATTTTAGCCGTAAATGAACGCGCTATTTAGAGGATTAGCTTAACCGGAACAAATATCGTTAGTTAATGTTTCGAATTCATTGCACCCCCCCTCCCCAGGATTATATCGAAAATATACATATATATATATATACGCGCGTTTATTCCCCAACAAAATTATAAAGTACGAATAAATAGACGAAACATTCTCGAAAGATTACAGAATAGATCTCCCCGTTTTTATCTTCGATTTTTCCTCTCGTTAAAAATTAACAGTCTAAAATTATATTTCCAAGAATTATTTTAGAAACGTTAAAAAAAATCTCCTCCCAATAATAATTATCGTTGGAATTTCTTTCCATCGACGCGATTAAATACTTGACCCGCCAATCAGCGGCCGATATCCGTTTTCCAGGTCCTCTACCACCGCCGATAAGCGGTTCCAGCCCCACGGAGCCGCTGATACCAACGGTGAACCCGTCCTTGCATCAATCCGCGTTCCGCCCCGTGATCCGTGGGCCGCCGATCGTGGAACCGGTCGGCCAGGAGCAACACCCCTCGGACCACACGTCTGTCTCCCACAAAGAGGATAACTCGGACGACGAAGTGGACATCGAGACGACCGAGGACGATTCGCCCCTCAACATCGCCCCGCAGAACCTTCATCATTCCGTCTCGAGTTCCGCAACCGGCGCGGGCCACAGCGACTCGCCCCAGTGCTGGAGCCCACCGAGAGAAACCGTAAGTGATATATTACTCTCTTCTTGCAATTAAACGATCCATGTTTATCATTTTAACCTTCTCCTCTAAGTAACTAAGTATGTCGCCATCCTACATTTTATAAATACGTATATATTACATTATATATATATATATATATACATTTCGAATATGAAAACGTTGTTAAATATAAATACACGAGTGCAAAGGGTTAAATTATCTTGTAATTATGTAAGGAAGAAGAAATGGAAGGTGTGTCGCATTAAAAATGATTTGGATAAAAGGGAGAGACGCTTTAAAGAAGAAAGAAAGAAAGTGTACGAGGAGCGTAATGCACGTTGAAGCGGGTTATTATTAATTAATCGAGGCTCCATTAATCCGATCGTGTAATGTTTCTCGAAGGACGCGCCACGTGTCCATTGTTGTCGCGCCCTTCGGCCGAGGTAACGAAGTTGTATCAAAGCTTCCATCCATTCGTTTTGCCATTATCACGAGCCGATAGGTCGGCAAACACTCGAGCGAGAAAAAAAACGTTTCCTCAAAACGTACGTTCGTAACAAACAAACGTAACAATAATCGCGCCCCAACTCGAATCTCGACACGTGGCCCGTCGAAAAAAATACACAACGTCGCCAAAAGAGAAGTTTCGTTGTGTTGTCTTTGGCCTGTTGGTCGATTAACATATATTGGAAGGAAATGGGCTATGTGGAGATGGAAGTCGGATTATTGTGTTATACTTGACCCCGATACATTTGAGAAAATAAATGTATTTTCATCGACAAACATCCACGTTCCGGAAAGTAATACATTAGAGCGTCAGCCATGATCCTTAATCATTGAGTAGTGAATAAACCTATATATTCTTGTCGTTCAATAACCGAGCGTGTTTATGTTGGGGGAAAAAAGCAGCTCCACCCGAGCGTTGCTCCCCTCCCCCCCCCCCCCTCCCCCCCTTCTGTAAACGAAAAACGAGATAACTTTGAGTTACGTGATACCTGGCAAACAAGTTTATAAACACGGGTTAATCGAATTAAACCGAGTTGTAAAAACATTAATTCACAATCGCAAAGAAATGTATACTTATTGTTATTATTATCATCATGGTCGATGTAATTAACAATAATTATACGCCTTAAATACTTTTTCTCCTCCCATCTTTCGACGGGCTACGAAATTGAATTGAGTTAAATAAAAATGAGGGAGGAGAAGATTGGTTATATCAAAATCATATATATATTCTTTGTGTAATAAGTTCTTTTTTGTTTTATCAATTTAATTGCTTTTTGAGAAGCGTACGAATTTAGGATATTGTTGCTTGAAGCTGATGCAATTGAAAAACTTAATTAGTTTTTGAAGAAGATTCCATCAAAATGAGAGGTGGTGGTTTCAAAAATTCAAGAAAACGAGAATCTTGAGAATGAGATCGAAATAACCCATATCAAAGATAAATCGAAAGGCGGAATATCTCCAATGACACAGTTTTTGAAAAGATAGAAATCCATTTTTGACGAGAAATGGATACTATACGATAATCTGGACAATGGTTGGACGCTGGTGAAAATCCTAATCGAAATCGAATCGTTACGTTCGTTGCTCTTTTTCGAAACAAAGAGATGATACCGTAACAGCAGATCATTAGTCGATGGACACAAAATGACAAAACTTGACCTTAATCGAAATATGAAATCTTAACCGCCAGATATTTCGATTGTCGCCATTTACAGTTGTTTTTAAAAAATATTCTTCGCCTTTCTAAAATCTCGGTGGAGTTTTATAAAAATGGAATGTCGATTGGAAAACGTCATTCAAGCCAATGGTTCGTTTTCAATGAAAATTAAAATTTCGAAAATATAAATCGTGACACGATCCAATATATATATATATATATCAGGCGTTCAAGTAAGTTCTTTCTCCTTTTTTTCTGCGATCGTAACTTCTGATCGAATTCGTATTACTAAGAGCTCTTTCGTTTTTAAGAAACTTCCAGTTCTCTATGCAACGAGCGCGAGAAATGTTGAAGCTAGTTTAGAACACAAAAAAGTAGTTAAGATTTAAATTTGGAACTTTTAATTCAGAAAACGACGATCGTTCAAACGAATCGATTGCAGAAAGATTACGAATCGCAAGAAACAATTTGCCAATCTTGTACCCGTTGATTTACATAATAAAATCTTGAATTTGGAAAAAATAAGGAGAAAGAACTTATATTTGAAAATGATGATTTCTTAATAAAAACACATCCTACGAATACACACGCGCTACTTTAATAATCAACAATATATTCGACTAAAATTTAATTTATCCATCCAAAATTACTGAAACTAATTAAAAACGCTCTCCCTGAAATCCTTCGAAATCCGAATTGAAACGAAATCATCGTCGTCGTGGCGAATTGACGATAGCTGGCAGCCAAGGACACAATAATTAATTTCCGGCACGCTCGATTCTTGGCCGCGGTACGACATGACGACCGGTGGTGGTGGTGGTGGTGGTGGTGGTGGTGGTGGTCGCGTGACACGGTTATGAACGCGGTCGTTCATTTAATTATATCGCCGGCATAAGTGTATATCCACATATTACGCTGTGAGCATATTACGTCCAGTCGATCGCGCGAGCCCGTTAGTTCGTATGGTTACGGAGTATTTACTGACACAATAATTATCGCAATTGACGGGGGCAGCCGCACGAGCAGTCAGACCGCAGAGCAAATTCTAGGGACGTCGAGTAGTATTACGTGGCAGGAAACTCTCACACCCTCTTCGCCCTATCCTAGCCTCTCTATCGTTCTCTATTATCCCCTCCTCTCTCTCTCTGCCTCTCGATCCGTCTATCGTGTTTCTCTTTCTCTGGTATCTGGTGTCTTTCTTGGTGTCACGATTTAGATGGGTACGACGGTAGTGCATCGATGGTAACGAGCGGGCAATTCCTGTATCCCCCGATCATTAATATTAGGACGGAATTGAAAGGAGTTGAGAGAGAGAGAGAGAGAGAGAGAGAGTTGCTTCCTTCGACTCGAGGTGTTTGAGGAACTGGAGGAACGACGAAGGGGAGGAAATAATAAAAACTGGAGTGATTGAGGTGGAAGGTGTCGAAAATTTGCTTTGCTTGATTAATATAGTAAGTATTTTAAAGATATATAATAATAATAAGTCAGGAAAATTAAATGTTTTTAAAGAATTTCAAGGATGAAAATTCGAGTGTTGAAATTTTACTCGAGCAAATAAAACGAAGAAGGAGCGATAAACCATTGGCAATAATTGTTTGAATAAACGAAGGATCGATGAGAGAAACGAAAGAAAGAAGCGACAGCCGGTCAAAAATTTGAAGATATTTCTTCGATGTAACAGCGTGTCGGAAAAATTACTATTAACTATGAACTTGAAAGAATTCCAGGGATGAAAATTCGAGTGTTAAAATTTTACCCGATCGTCGTTAAATAAATCGCGTAAGATAAAACAAAGAAGGAGCGATTGGCGATAATTATCCGATAAGGGGTAAATGAAGGGGTCGATGAGGAGGAGAGAAACGAAAGAAAGGGAGGAAAAGACAGTGACAGACGTAGGATTCGAGCGGGATAAGCCATCCGGATTGCCAGCCAGCTTTTCAATTCCCCCTTGTTGGTGAACGCGTCGAGTGGGACGGATCCGTACTTTGTGAACAGACTCGCCAAAATCTCTCTCTCTCTCTCTCCTCCCCTCTTCCTCATCTCGACGACATCGAGGCTGTGCACACGTACACGTATCTATCCATAGATATCCGCGACGAAGGGACAAGAGGAAGTGGAAAACCCAGTTACTGCAACCAAGCGACACAGAGTCGGGGGCCACAAGTGTATCGCGGTAACTAAGTAATCCCCGAACGTTATTTGCAGTTATTTCTCGGTTGGACGGGTGGGCCGAGGAAAGGAAAGGAAGAAATTTGGCGGGGATTTGGTATTTTCATTTTCGCCGCGCATCTGTGGTTGTCCAAACGTTACCTTCCCTATCCCCGACACATCCGTCGACCCAACCTTTCCTTTCCATTCCTATTTCTTTCTAAAGTTTTCAACACAAGGCGATCAAAAATCGAAGGAAGGGTCCCTCTGTCGATTTTTTTAATAAATATATAATGTCGAAAAGAATATCCTGGATAGTGAAAAAATGTAACATAGAAGAAAAATGGAAGAATCGTGGAAAATCGTACTTTTTCCCTTCATCTTTTCGAATCGATTTTTCGAAATGTCGAAATATATATTTAAGCTCGACTAGATATATAGAATACTCTCTTCTCTCGAGGATATGTGGGTTTACGACGTCGAGGCGAAATGTTACCGGGTTAACTTTTTCAAAGATACAATCGTGAACAGAGAGCGTTGCTAACGTTGCGATTTAATCACAGAGCCTCCCGAAGGGTTCTGCCAAGGGACACGAAAGGTCGGATGTTGGCATTTCGCGTCAAGCGAAGGGTGGAGAAACTTTAACTTAAAAATGCCAGCTGGACCTTAAATGATCGATTAATTAACGAGAATGTCTTTTGCGATAACAGCGCGATCGTTCATCCTCCATATTTTTATCTTTATAAAAAGAAACGGGGAAGAGATAGAAACCACGAGGAAGATTCCATTCTTCCTCTTCTCTTAAAAGAGGACCTTAAAATCGAGCATTTCGCCCGCGGAAAAAGTCTGAAAGAAGTATAATTTGTCGCTCCCTCCCCTTCCCATCCCTCCTTCGAAAATCTAATGGCTCTCCAGACGGTCGAAGCGCAATTAAAAGTTGCGGTCGAAACTAACTAAACCAGTCGGAGTTTGATTTAAACGTTTTCCCGGCCCCCTTCTTCCTCCCCTCCCCTCTCTACGTGACGCCGTTTAATTGCATTTAAATGGATGTTGGAGGAGAGGTCGACTGTCTTCTTCGGCGGGACGCGAGGAGAAGAAGGATGACACGAGACGAGACGAGGCGAGACGGGAGGATGTGCTCGTCGTTAATCACGATCGACCGGGGGAAAAAAAAAGAAAAGGATCTTAATTGACCAGAGGAATTGAA